CATCATCATTTTTCCTCCACAGACTTCAGATGAAATGCCTTGCATTGAGGAAACTCTTGAGTTGCAGGAGATGAGCCCAGCACAGGTCAGCATGATGGCATTAAAGATTTTAAGTTAAAATATTCATTGTGGTTCATGAATGAAATGTTTAAAATTCTCCACTTGTTGTTCATATTGTTTAATTTAACCTCCAACCAGAACTATGATTTTCAACTGTCTTTAATTTTGATTTTTCTAAATTTTCACACAAGAAATGTTTGTATAGGATAACCTCTGACTTTTGATTCAGACCTGTCACGTATGTGTTATTATATGTATATCGTAATTTACAATGTGTACACCACCGCAGTGGATTTTAAGCAGAATGTAATTTGTGGCTGGAGTTCAGATTATCAGCTTTAATTCACAGGGTTTAACAAAAGTGTTGCATTAACTCACTGAGACTGAGGGGGAAAAAATTAGGAGTGACCGAATCAACAATCTGGTGGATTCGACTACAATGATCAGCTCAGCAACACCACTGAAGAAAACTGAAGTGCATAATGACAGAATATTTTTCATGGTTTTAAAAAACCCAATATCATAGCATCGAGCCAAGTCCAGAACACTATCAAAGGAAGTAGACACATCACTTTCAAAGACTGCAACCAAGAGACGCCTTCGTGAATTCAGTTCAGTTTTATTTATGTACCGCCAGTGCACAACAAAAGCGTCTCAAGGCACTTAAATTGACAGGAAACTCGCAACAGTGCGATTAACAGCTGTTTTATTATTTGTTTTCCAGGAGAGCACAGTGGAGGTTCAGCCGGTGGAGATGGCTGCTTATCCGACTGAGGAAAACCCAGTCGAACCTGAGCCGGTGAGCCTCAGAGTTTGTGAGTGTTAGTCATTTATGGTATTTGACAGATGAGTTGTCTCTTCATTCGAGCTCCTTGTTTTCAGGAAGAGGATGAGCTCTTGGAGTGGTGGAACACAGTCAAAGGTTAGTGTGGTTCCAACATTTAGGAGAACTATTATTTATTTTTTATGTTTTCTGTCTACTCGTTGTATTATTTCTGCTGTTTGCCAGGTTGGAAGGAGTGGAATTAGACTTCTGATTTCCGGGCAGAGGATGAGGAAATGTGAATAAAGTTTCTGTTTTTTAATAACTTTACCTTCATGTTTCCAGTAAACATAATATTTTTGCATTTGTTTTTAGGGTATAATTCTTTTTTGATTTGTTGACAACTTTAAGGCTTGAATTTAGCAGTAAATCGAGTATTAATAATAATAATTACAACTTTATTTGTCAGATTGACGAGCATAATGTTTCTGTTTGTGTCTGTTTCTGCAGGGCGATGGAGCAGGCAGCTGACCGCGTCTACATGGCAGCCCGTCTTTTTGTGCGTCTTTTCAACCAGCGCGGGGCGTCCTTACAGCATCGCATCCTGGAGCTTTTGGCTATGGCGGACGCCGCGGATGAGTTCCATAAGAAGACGGTGTCGGCCGCTGTGGGCGGAGGCGTGGCCAGCGTCGCGGGTAGCGTCACCACAATCACAGGCCTCATTCTGGCGCCTTTCACTTTTGGCGCCTCTATTATTGTGACAGCAGTGGGGATCGGTGTGGCGACGGCAGGCAGCATCACGTCAGC